GCTTCTATTTAAGGCTAATAATATTAGCCATATTATTTTTATTGTATATATTTAAGTTATTTTGGTATACATATACATAGTGAAATGATTATTGCAGTCAAACAAATTAATATATCCATCATCTCACAGTTACATTTGATTATGAAAGTGCCTAAAATTATGTTAGCACATTTTCAGTATAAAACATGACATTATTAACTACATTCCTCATGTTCTACATTAAAACTTTGATCCCATTTTTTTCTCATTTTCTTCAATGATATAAATTGTGTTGGAATTGTAAATCTCCTAAGATAAAGATATCATAGTGCTTTATAGTTATGTTTACCAATATGGAGGAAGTGTCTGAAAAGTTTTAAATCTATAAACCCTGCTTCTTAGACTAAGATTAGGTTTTAATTTTTCTGAGCACTGACCTTCAGTGTACACAATTTCATTATTTAATGGATTCATCATTTCTTATTGTTTTAGTCTCTGAGCTAGAAGGGCATACTGGAAATGACACAGTAGTGTTGCATTTTGACAGTTGCTATCTGTGTCATTTCATGCTCTCCTACTTTCAGTCATATTTTAATATTCATATCTACTACAGGTGTTCTTTTAACTTTATGTATTCTGATTCTTAGTGAAGGAAGGTTTGTTTAGTTGTTGTTGTTTTACATTACTGAGAGTCAAGCCAGGACCTCATCCATGCTAGGCAAGTGTTTTACCAGTAAGCTATACTCCCAGCACTGTTAGTAAAAGTTTTTAATAAGAAATTCAATTTATCTATTTCTTCTTGAGATTTGATAGTTTGTGTCTTTTAAGGAATTTTTCATTTTATCTGAGTTGTTAAATTTCTTCAACTAATGCTATTCATTTTAATAGTAATTAACATCCTTGTTTACCAATTCTATTTGTCATATTTGGGTCAATTTCAACTGATTGATTTTTATCACCATTATGGGTCCATTTTACTATTTCTTTGCTTATCTAGTAATTTTTTATTTGATCAGAGACCAATGGGGGGAATCACAGATAAAAATTGAAACTATAATGAAAGTTAAGAAAGTTTCAGTATGGAATAATGAAGTATGATTTAGTTTATAACTAGGGAGACACCACAATAAATGGTAATCCTCAAAAGACTTATGAGATGGATAACATCCTAGATATGCCTAGTAACTACAGCATTGTTCAGATAGTTAAAGATATGGGGGAACAGGATTTCAGTAAGAAAGAAGAGCTTATATATATATATATGTGTGTGTGAATGTGTGTGTATATATACTTATGTATTCAATACTCATATGTATCCTTATTTATATATTCATATACATGCATATAAATGGGTGTGCATTCAGTAATAAATATTTGTTGCATACAAACAAAAGAGACAACAGGAGTTCTAATAACCCTGAAAATATATATTCCTTTTCAATCTTTTTGAGTTGTCTGTATGAGTTGTGAGTTTGCTTTTAAACCACACTGAGAAGTCTCTGTGAGGAACATGTTCATTGTGCAACAAGCACAGCCTCTTGTTCATTGTTGTGTTTGTTGATGGGCCATTCCCTTGGGAACAGCTGTTGGCTGTAGGACTTAGTGGTGCACCTGCAGATAGTCTCTGAGAGAGGAGCACCTCTTAGTTTACATAAAGTTTCTTTCTGCCATTCTTGAGTTCTTTTGGATTTTTTTTTTAATTCTTTTCATTTATCAGTTAGAATTGGGTTCAGTCACATAAAAAAAAAATTCAAAATAGCAATGGCTATACCACAATCCTTGTCTTTTCATATGAAACAAGTCCAGAGGTGGGTAGTATCACTCAGGTGATTATCAGCTTGATATCCTGGCCACTTCCATCTTTCATCTCAGCAATGTTCCTTGGGTACCTTACTTTGTGATCCTGGATGGCAGTTGGGCATTTGGATAGCTCCCCCTCATTCTAGACCTTAAGACATGGGCAAGGGATATGAGAGGACTCCTTTTAGCTGAGTACACCCTCTTCAAAATAGTTGTTCAGAAAATTTTACACAAAAACCTCCATTCACATCTCACTGGCCAGAATTTAGTCACTTGGCCATACCTATCTCCAAGAGCTTGAACAGTGTTGTTTTTGTTTTTCTTCAAGTAGGAAAAAACTGCTAATTCAAATTAAAATAGATTACAGCTACTCAGAAATAAAGCAGGTAATCATTTGAAGTTTCTGTTTTTTCTATTTTTTTATTTAAATAATTTTAACTAATATATAAAAACATAAAAATATATATTTAGGGTGTATCATGTGATATTTTGATGGACATACATTGTATAATATTAAAATTATAGCTATTTCCTCAAACATTCATCATATATTTACAGTGAAACACTCAAAATACTTTATTCTTATTTTTTAAAATATACAGTACATTATTATTATTTATTGTCAACCTTTATTATTTACTATAAGCAGCACACCAGAACTTCTTACTCCTACCTAACTGTAATTAACTACCCACTTATGGACAGTTCTCTTCTTCTCATCCCCTCTACTCTAGGAACCATCACTCTACTCTCAACTGCTATGAGATCAAATTCCTCATATTCCCTTTAGGAGCAAGATCATGCAGTACTTGTCTTTCTGTGATAGCATAACACTGGCATAGCACTGGTATAAAGACAGATACATACACTAAGGTACCAGAACAGAGAGCCCAGAATTAAACTGATGCATCTACTGATGTTTGATTTTCAACAAAGGTGATAAAAACACACATTGGAGAAATGAGTCTTTCAATAAATATTGCTAGAAAATTGTATGTCCACATGCATAAGAATGGAACTAGACCTCTGTTTCTAACTGGTTATAAAAATAAACTTCAAATTTATTAAAGATATAGATGTAAGACCTTAAACTATGAAACTGCTAGAAGGAAACAGGTGAATCAGGACATTGGAAAAGAGCAAGGATTTTTTGGATAGATCCTAAAAGCACAGGAAACCAAGCAAAAATTGACAAATGGGATTCATAAAACTAAAAGGCTTCTGCACAGCACAGAAATAATCATCAGAGTGAAGAAACAACCTACAGAATTGGACAAAATATTTGTAAACTATATGTCTGGCAGGGGCTAATATGTGGAATAGATTAGGAACTCCCAAAACCCAGTAGTTTTAGAATGGGCAATATACCTAAATAAACAATTCTCAAAAGAAGACACACAGATAACCATACACACAAGTATATTAAAAAATTGATCAACATCACTAATCATCAGGGAAATGAAAATTAAAACCTCACTCTATTAAGAATGGCTATTGTCAGCTGGGCATGGTGACATATTCCTATAATCCCAGAAACTCAGAAAGCTGTGGTAGAAGGATAGCAAATTTGAAGACAGCCTGGATAGTTTAGCAAGACACTGCCTCTAAATAAGTGTGTGTGTGTGTGTGTGTGTGTGTGTGTGTGTGTGTGTGTACGCACGTGCACAAATAAATAAATAAAAGAATAAGTAAAAGGGCTTGGATGTAACTTAGTGATAGAGCACCAAAATGAATAAATAAATAAATAAATAAAGTACTGGTGAGAACAAGGAAAAGAGGAAAAGGGAACCTTTGCACACTGTTGGTAGGAATTTAAATTAATATAACTACCATGAAAATATTATGAAGTTTCCTCAAAGAATTAAAAATAGAATCACCATATGATCCCACACTCCCACTACTGGGTGTATATCCAAAGGAAATGAAATTAGCATGTGAAAGAGACATCTGTGTTCTATGTTTTTTGTAGCACTATTTACAATAACCAAGAAATGAACATAACCTAAGCATCCATCAACTGATAAATGGAGAAAGAACATGTAGCGCATAAACACAAGTCAGCCATTAAAAGGATCGATATATTAAGTACTTACTGTTTTTAAAGCATATCATACAACCAAGTACAACCAAATGGTACTATTTCCTGCATAAGAAGTTTTAATCTGGCTGTGGCTTTTTCTCATGGAGAAATAAAGTGCCTTTTACAGGTGGAGGAATGTCAAATACCTGCTGAAATTACTAACTTGTCTTCATACCCTAGGCCTCAACATTGGAAATCATCCAAAGCATGTTGTCAGAAAATCTGTTATCTCTAAGTTAGTGCCTAAAAGTAGATATACTCTATTCTCTCTTTTGAAATACCTTAGAACAACAGTGGAATTAAGTTCCATTTGGCAGTTCAAGAAAGCAGATCAATTGGTTTCACATTGCTTATCAATGGCATATAGATAGTAAGGAATATAGGTTCCCTTTGTGCTTGGTGTAATGCAGTATTTTTTGATTAACAATTTACTGCATAGAAGTTTTTTGCACAGTATTTTTGATTAACAATTTACTGCATAGAAGTTTCCAAAACATCATTCAAGTATTCTGTATTACCTCTCTATATTAAGTATCAATGGCTGCATAACAATATCTCAAAACTCAGTGGCTGAAAATAATAAACTTGATTATCTCACTGTCTGTCTCTGTAAATCAGGATTCTAGACATGAATTAGCTGAGTTCTATACTGTCAAACTCCTGTGAATTAGGCACATCATTGCATCTGCAAAAAATGAGAGAAAATGTTTGTTTGTTTTTTTAGGTTTGCCTTAGGTTAAAAAAATCACAGTAAAATCACTGCATATACATATGTATTTTTTTGCTTGATTATATTTTCTGAACTTTTGCCTTTCATCTTAGTTTTCATTGCTGTATACAGTGAACAACAGTAACTGTGGCAGCCAGAAAAGCACTCTAAATAGTCCCTTAGGGCCAACTCCGAAGAAGTAGAGACTCCATACTCTAAAGTCTAGTGATAGGAATATACTTTCATGAGAGTGTTGAATAAGTCATCTTGAATTTTCAACTAGCTACCTAATATTACTTTATAAAAGAAAAAAACCTAAAAATATTTCTATTCTATGACTTAGAAATAGGTGACTTAGAAAATATATAACTATTTTCCATAGTTATAGTACATCGCTCTAATTCTTTCTCTTTGGCTACTTTTTTGGAATAGACTAAGATGCCTAGTGAAGCAGCTGGAGAAAGGTGACGTGAACGTGGTGGACTTGAAGAAGAACATTGAATATGCAGCATCCGTGCTGGAAGCAGTTTATATCGATGAAACAAGGTGAGTCAGGTCCTCACTTCCTCTCTCTTTTGTCCTCATTCTTCTCTCCCTTCTTCATTTCTCAGTCTTGACCCTGCTTCACTCAAACAGCAATTGAACATATCTTAATATAAAACCAAAATCAAAATCTTATTAAAAATTTAAAGGTTACTTTTGATTTAGTTAATTAACTGGACTATGATTCTTTAAAAAAAAAATGTCCTTTGATCCAAATGCTTTAAGACAACAAAAATATCAAACAATAAATTTATAAGATGAAAGAAAATTCATTCTCTTCTCATGCACCCCACCTTCAATGTCCTTAGGTCTAGTCTTTAATCGTTAGAGACAGGTGTAGCCTTATATTGGTTTTCACTCAGGTAAGAAATTTTCCTCTAATATCAGAGTTTCTTCTGAGAAATGGCTATGACATGCCCACATGCTCACGCTCATGATTTCCTGGAGGGCTTTGTGAAGCTCCAAATATGTCACCACCCAAACCCAGCCTCATCGTTAGCAGACTGGTAAGGAGATTAGGAGAGGGAGATTCATTGGAAGAGGGTTGTTATCCCAGTGCTGTGGCTCTCAGCCAGGCCACTTACCCTCCAGGGGATGTTTGGCAGGCCCGAGAGACTTGCCCAGTGTCTCTTGGTGTTTACAGAGTGCTAAGACAGGGTCCTGACTCTCAGAAAAGATAAAGGTGACAATCAACTGAGAGCTAAGAGGGAACCTGCAGCCGGAGAGAGATAATCTTCCAGAGTTTGACTCAGATAACTTTTCAAAGCCATGATGAAAATGGAATACAGGTCTTTTGAAGTAATAATAAAGTCATAAAGAGTACCAATATCAAAGGATTCTAGGGTGTTTTTGGTAAAAGGATCAGGGTAGAAACTGAAAATTTCAGCCAAAAGATCACAGAATATAAAATGTTTTAAGGTGCCATGAACATGTTCAGGTGTTCAAGAGTACTGAATTACCTCTGAAGGACCCACAAAAAGTCTCTAGGAGAGAAAATTAACCTTCATTTGGGCATTTGTTACATAGAGGACAGCAAAAGTACCAGTCTAGTAAGACCCTCTGCCCTGTTATTCTCTCTCTGTCCCACCACATGGTTGAACAACTAGAAGCAGTAGAGTAGGGGCAGGGAATGGAGAGTGAACACCCTTCAGGTCTCTTCCCTTCTGAAGGTATCCATGCTGAGCTTGGGAAGGTAAGAAATGTTAAACTAGAGGTGAGATTGAAGTTTTTATTTATCTTTGTGTACTGGACTTCACATAAACAATGGGTAATATTGTTTAATGGGTAAAAAGACCTGATTGAAAAATCAAAATAATACAAAAGGTTTCATCAGTCTTGCCTCCACCTTAGTCCCCAGCTAATCTCTTATTATGTGATATATGACAAAATTTTATTTTGATATTTTCCCTCCTTCTTTCATGGAAGATAGCATAGAACATACATGATCTTTCATTTTGCTTTGTTTTTTTTTTCCCCACTAACTAAGGCAGCAGGGGGATCTTCCTGCATCATGTTTTGATCTTTTTTATACTCAACCATGAAGATTTTCACTAATAATGACAGAGATGGCCATAGCAAAGGCTGTGCTGCACAAGTGGTTCTGCTTTGGTCCCCAGAATGGAGTTCCTCTGCCAGAGCATGGTTTAGAGTTACAAATTAAGGGGGGGGGGAATCAAAGGGACACTTTTAGATTATAAATTCTATCCAGAATTGTTTTCACTGTTGAATTTCACTGAATGAACACAAATATATATATATATATATATGTTTATTCTAAGCAAACAGAGATTCAAAATGTGAATTTAAAATACCTGATATTGTTCCTTTAATTTCTTTGTTCCTTTATTTTCCTGTGTGGCCTTTATTGTTCACCAGTTGATTGGACTTAACAGGCTTGACATCTCTTTATTCTGTCCTTGGCTAGACATTTCATTTTATATTTATTTATAAAATTAAAGAATTTCTGGAATGAGGGTAAAACTCAGAGGTTGAGCACAAGGCCCTGTGTTCCAACCCCAGCACTGCAAAACAAGAACTAGACCCCCAGCTCCCCAAAAAAGACTTTTACCTTCAAGAATTTTATATATATTAATAAAATTATATACATATATAATAAAATTCATCTTATAATGGCAATGTTAACTATCTGGTTTTGCCTAAGAATCATGTCTTTCATTTGACAGATTATTACATGCTATGCTTATTCATTTTATGTTATATTTCCTTTCTCTGAAAATTATGATTCCATGAATATTTTGTTAATGTAATTTACCATGAACCCTAACTCATTTAAACATGAATTATGTTTAAAGTATAGTCCTTTCTCATTTGAAAATTTCTCTTTTGTAGGAAAAAAAAAGGTTAAGCACAATATTTAACTGCTTCATGGTAGAAATTTAATTTGGAGGGGAAGATTGCTTCTTACCACAAAACATCCCGGTTCCTAATGCCAACAACATCATTCCCAAATTTCTACTTAAATGACAAGAAATGTTCCGCCTTTTCATTTTAATACTTCCATGACATCATTATTTTTAAACTGGATTAATAATAACAGCCCACATTTATGCCATCTTCAAAAGGCTCGTTTCATTACTTCACATAGTTTCACCCCAATCCTCAATATTATTTTCTACGTTTTACTAATGAGAAAACTAGAGATCATTTAAACATCACAACAGTTCTATGAGATAGAAATTCTACTATTACCATTTTGTACATAAGGAAATTAAATCACATAAAAGTTAAATAGCTTACTCAAGAGAATGAATTGAAGAGTGAGATTAGGACCAGGGCAATCCAACTCCAGAGCCTAGGCTACTAAGCACAATTCTCATCCCCATCTCTTTTGCAACATTTAACCAAAAGTGAAAGACTAGAAGTTTGACGGACACTCGTGTGCTCTCAAGATCTTGAGACTTGGTGGGTGCAGATAAAGTTGTATCTTATCTGTTCCCAATTTTGCCTTCAGTGATGACATACTGGTAGCTTGAAATTGGCTTTGGTGTGATATTAACACCATGGAAAATGTCAAATGCAACATGCAACATTGGTTTTCCCTGGAGAGGCTGATAAACATTTACCATCATGCCACTGGCTAGACCTAAGATCCCCCCTTAAGAGTCTTCTAAGAGCCCAGATTTTATTGTCAAATATCAGTTTAGAAATTCTTAGAACACACATAGTTTGATTTCCTATACCTATAGTGAGACACATAGCATTAAACTGAGGATGTTTCTATTGAGATATACATAGAATTATTTAAGTGTCATTTGCCTTAGGAATATTACTAAAATAAGGATCGTTTAAAAGGAGTATGGCTTGAGAAGCATTTAGTTGATTTTTATTTATTTTTATATCCTATATGGCTTCTGAAACTTATTTAAAAATAATTCAGTGAATATTCCAGAAGTGTTGTTTGAAAGTTGACTGTATTGAAAAATAAAAGATAAAAAAATAAAGGTCAGCATATAATAATACTGGGTAGAACACAAATTATTAGTTGGTTTAAAACATCCTTTTTTATTTCTTTCTTTCTCTTCTTACTAAATACTAGTGACTACAGGTTTTCAGTTAGAAAACAAAACAAAAATTTCTCTTTAAAGATGATTTTGGTGAGAAAAATAAAAACAGTTTCTGACAAAAATTAAATTCTGACCTTTGCAGAGATTATAGCACAATTCCCTAGTGAATGTGAACATTTGTTGGTTTTTTAAAAGACATTTTCATATGCAAATGCCAATATTTTATGAGTCTTCCTTTCAGATATGTCCCTAGAGGCTATTATTTTCAAAGTCGCACAGTTGTAATCCAGAAACATGTGGCCTAAAAAGAAAAAAAAAAAATCTATTCGTCCTTATTTGGATTGGGACACTGCCAAGCAAAGTAGCATCCTTGGCCTCCCAGGCAGCTGACTGGGAGATGTACTTCCAGAGATGGATACTGTGCTTACTGATATCTTACGAAAATAAATCATAACTTCATTTTGTTTAATGTGAACCAATCTGTTTTAGGATTACATGGTTAAGAGAGTATAGACACTGGATTGAGAAAGAATAGGTTGTTCAACAACTGGATCCTCCCATCAATACTCTCTTTCTTGAAGGCAGATAGGTTACTTGACATCTGTAATATCACACTTTATCATCTATAAAATAAGGACAATGCCCACCTCCAGGGTTGGCATGAGGATGAATGTAGTACAGTGCCTGACAAAATAAAAGTTAGATCATAGCCATTATGTTTGTTGTACTAATAAAATGCAAATACACTTTGCATTTTGGGGATATATAACATCTTAAGGTATTAATTTATACCTCCTATTAAAGATATCAATTAATTTCCTGATAGTAGTTTTTTTAAATTTGCTTATTTATTCTAATTTGTTATACATGACAGCAAAATGCATTTTAATTCATAATACACATACACAGCACAATTTTTCATTTCTCTGGTTGTACACAAAGTAGAGCCACACCACTCGTGTCTTCATACATGTACTTAGGAGTAATGATGTCCATCTCATTCTACCATCTTTCCTACACCCATGCCCCCTCCTTTTCCCTCCCTCTCCTTTGCCCTATCCAAAGTTCCTCCATTCCTTCCATGCTCCTGCCTACCCCCACTATGGATCACCATCCACATATCAGAGAAAACATGTGGCCTTTGTTTTGGGGGGATTGGCTTACTTAACTTAGTATTATATTCTCCAACTCCATCCATTTACCTTCAAATGCCATGATTTTATACTCTTTTATGCTGAATAATATTCCATTGTGTATAAATACTATAGTTTCTTTATCCATTCATTTACCGAAGGGCATATAGGTTGATTCCACAATTTAACTATTGTGAATCGTGCTGCTATAAACATTAATGTGGCTGTGTCACTGTAGTATGTTGTTTTTAAGTCCTCTGAGTATAAACTGAGGAGTAGGATAGCTTTTTGATCTTGAGAAAATGAATTCAGTTGAGCTCTAGTTGCCAGGGAGTGAAAGCAAAGC